CATCAAGACTAAAATCGAGACAGACTTAAACAAATAGTTCTTGAATTAACTAGGAAACATAGTCATGAACAACTAGTTAAGTAATTTTCCTCAGAAACTAAAAAGGAGTTAGAAACACCCCAAGGAATTACCTGGATGGACATGGCTTTCTCGTTTGTTTTAAGCTGGCTTCCTGTGTAAATCAAAAAATTAACCAAATTGTAAAAGACCAACAACTAGATCTAACCATAATCCCCAAAAGGAGTTGCCAAGAAAAATAAAAATTTCTGGCTTTTAAACATAAAAAAAATTTCTTTATTTTCCCACAATGGATATTTGTCTGCCAATATAATCCTCGAAAGAAGCTTCCAATCAATTAAAATCCAATTTTAAATACAAAAGTTCAAAAATAATTCTTTATTTTATGCAACTGGAGAATTAATGTCTGTGACAACAACAAAGACGAAATTTTACCCTTGCCGGCGGCTTTCTGCTTCTCCAAGTTCTTCTCACGTGCCATCTTGGCCTTTTGACCGTTGCCTCCTCCCATGTCTGGTAATCGAAGAAGGATGAAGACCTGAAAACCCTAATTTCGCAATTGAGCTCTGTGCCTGTTAGGCAAAAAGGGGAGCAATAATTCGGTGCGAATAAGTCAATTTATAGGTGGGGAGAAATTTATCGAAGTCCATAGCTTCAGAAAGTTCAAGATGACTTCTGTGACGGCAGGTGACTCTATTTTTTTCCACACGAACGGCACGGAGGATCTGGGCCCAATTTGGCTACAAGCCACAAAACCCTTCATCATTGCCCATTCGGTGTGGACTATTGTGTTTTTCTCTTTGGGGGCACCCAAGAGGTGTCTCAAAACACCCAAATTCAAGTTTTTGGCCCTGGAATTTCTCATCCTGTTTTAATTTTCAAATAATCAACTATGATAAAAATAATAATTGTCAATGTGATCTTGCCCAGTGAAACAAGACCTTAATTTGCAGACAATGAGTGATTTTGGATAGAACAAAATCACTTTTGGGAGGAAGCACACCCCACGTGCTTCTTCATATAATCACTTTTTAGTACCCATTTGACATTGCTTAAATAGGGTGATAAGTGATTTTTAAAAAAATTTGGGAAGCCCAACCCGTTTGGTAAACTATGAGAAAATCACTTATTATAAAAAATTGATGTGAGAGAAAGCTATAAGGGAAAACAGTTAATGAGGTGCTTTCATTTTCTGATTATATAGAAATCAGTTTCGAAGATGCGCTGGGTTTAATGAATATGAGAGGTGTTTTTCCTTAAAATTACTTAAAAGTGATTATTTAGAAAAGTAATTCTCCATAAAAACGATTATTCACCTCTTTAGAATCACTTCCAAACAAACCCAATCTTCACCTAACATTATTCTTTTAAATATATATATATATGTGGATATATTTAAGTTAATTAGGTTAACAATATATATATATATATATATATGTGGATATATTTAAGTTAATTAGGTTAACAATATATATAAGGGAAAACAGTTAATGAGGTGCTTTCATTTTCTGATTATATAGAAATCAGTTTCGAAGATGCGCTGGGTTTAATGAATATGAGAGGTGTTTTTCCTTAAAATTACTTAAAAGTGATTATTTAGAAAAGTAATTCTCCATAAAAACGATTATTCACCTCTTTAGAATCACTTCCAAACAAACCCAATCTTCACCTAACATTATTCTTTTAAATATATATATATATGTGGATATATTTAAGTTAATTAGGTTAACAATATATATATATATATATATATGTGGATATATTTAAGTTAATTAGGTTAACAATGTTGTGACAAATCCCAAAGCTTTGGTCAAATCTTATACCAAACAGAGTTTTGAGCTTATCCAATCAATTGACGTGGTGGTGAGAAGGATTAGTACCATTCTTATAAATTGGATATCCACCAATAAGTTCCATTCTGTCAATACCGTCCACAAATTCACATATACATGATTGGTTTCATAGAGAAAGAATGAATGTTTTATTTTTTGTTTTAAATTCCATGAACAGGATCTGTCATTTTGCATATATGATCAGGAAGAAAAAACAATTTTCCCATAAAATTTGGGATATGATTTCCCCACTTCCCTTTTCTCCACTTACACTCCGTTTTGCTTTTGAATACTTTTTAATCAATTTTGTTCTTTCTCTTTCCTATTCTACCTTTACCTTACATATTCAATTAAGATTTTAAAAAAGTTTAAAAGAGTTTAAAAGTTTGGGCGTATTTAATTCAAATTTTAAAAGAGTTTGTAAAAATTTGGGTGTATTCTATTCAGATTTCAATTGACATTAAAAAAAACTACATCGAAATCTAGGTGTATTCAATTTTGACTTTTTAAAAGTCAAACAAAATTTAAGTGTATTCAAAAAGTAATTTATTTTGAAGAAATTAATGAGTTGCCCGATTTCATTAGAAATTAAAGTGGTAAGTATAAATACAAAAGGTCATGACAAATCTTATGTCAACCCTAGAAACTTTGAACGTGCTCTACGCTTTCCAGTCCTTGAACGTGTGTGCTTGTCAAGTGGAGGTAAAAAATCTCCTCTCTTTTTCTATGTTTTCATACATGTATGATCTTTCATCGTGTGTTTGAATATTTGTTGTTGTTGTACATCACCATATATCAATGAACAGTAGCATATATATCGATGTACATCATAATATGAACAATTGCTACTTAAATAGTAGTTGTTGTTGCCATCATCATATATAGAGATGAACATCAACTTATTTGTTGCTATAAATATTTGTTGTTGTACATCAAACAAGTTTTATTTTTCTACGCCTTTTTTTGTTGTTGCTGTTGTTATTATTTTTTTATTCTATTTTAGTTGCTGTTATTTTTTTTTGTTTATGTACCTCATATCATATATATGATAGCCTTCTTCATTGATCTATTGAAGAAGACAATGAGCCTTCAACATTGTCATCGTTACCAGAAAATGAGGGAACTAATTATGACCAAGTTCTTCAAACCCAAGAAAAACAATGCGAGAATGCTAACCAATGGAGGGTTGGGATATCTTCAAATATGTGGAGAGATGCTATGAATGACGGGAGTCAAAGATGAGCAATGAAGAAGATACTTATTCGTTTTTATGCATTTAGAATTATAGTTTACTTATCATTTTTTTTTTGTCAAGAAATTACTTTTATGTTTTTACTTTTGTGTATTTTTCATAAACATGCTAACATATATCTTTATTCGGTTGCACATTTGAACAAAATAGATGCCCTTTTTTTTATTTTCTTTGGATGTATATGGTTTGGACGTTTTTTACAAAAAAAAATTGTAAAATATTTTTGTAAAGGTACTTTTTCTTTTGAAAATCTAGAAAAACAATAGACAGCTGAAAAAAAAAACATTTTAGAACTCTAATCAACTCTTTTAAAATATATGATAAAACTCTAACAAACACCATTAAAATCAATCTACGAATTCAATCAAACTCTATGTGGAGTTTATAGAAATCAATTGAAATATATTGAACTCTATAAACTTTACAACTCCATTTAACTCTTTTAAAATCTTAATTGAATACACTCCCCTAATTTCATTTTTACTTCACTTTTATATTAGTTCTTTTTCTTTGTACTTAATTTTTCAACTTGCACTCAATTTTCAGTATTTTTTTTCCTTTAATCGGATAAGAAATTAAGTTTTTTTTTCCTTTAATACTGAAAATGGTATAAGTTGAAAAATTAAGTATAAAGAAAAAGAAATAATATACAAGGTGAAATAAAAAAAAAATTAATGTAGGGTAAGGATAAAATAGGAAAGAGAAAGAACAAAATTGATTAAAAAATATTAAAAAGCAAAAGAGAGTGTAAGTGGAGAAAAGAGGAGTGGGGAAATCAACTCCCTAAAATTTAGCTTGTTTCATAAACTGTTATGGTGCGTTTAGATGAGGGAAATAAACTTGGGATTTTGACAAAACTTAGAATTTCTAAATTGACATGAACCAATTCCTGTGTTTGGATTAAAAAAAACATAGAAATTCAGAAATTCCACGTGGGAAAAAACTTGGAATTTGGATTCCGGTGTTTGGAAAAAAAAAACATATAAATGTAGAAATTCCGCTTGGAAAAAAAACATGGAATTTGGAGATCATAAATCCCAAGTTTAAATTCTATCTAAAAGTCGTCATTTCTAAAATCTCAAGAAAGATTGAGTTTTAAAAAAAGATAACTTTACAAATAAAGGTTAAATTCCGTGTTTTAAATTTGTCACCCAAACAAGAAACTTTACAAATTCTAGAACATTAATTTCCGTCATTTTAAATTCCATCATTTAAGAAATTCTTTATACTTTTAAATTTCCTCATCCAAATGCACTCTTAAGGAATATCTCTTAATGAACTTTGATGATCTCTAACCTTATATATATTTTTTAAATAATTATATTTTTCTTGATTATTTTTTTATTTTGGGTCAAAAATTACCAGTTGGGTAATAAATAAATCCCACAACCTTACCCCCTTACAAAGCCTTAAAATAAACCCCTACGTGTATGTAATCACTAGAAAACTACACATCATGTGAATTTTGGTGCTTTTTACACTTGTACATTTTCAAGTTTAAAATGTCAGAATTCAACTTGTCTCATGCTCACCTCTTTAGCACTATGCCACTACCCACGAATTAATATTAGCAAAAACAGACGAAATTCCAAATTCCAAATGATCCTCCATAATATAAGCATGTACAAAACCAAATCATTGTTTCGCAAAATTGGCAGCTTCACTCAAAGAATATATAAAATATAAATAATATGGTAAAGCCGTCAAACTGTTTCTCCCTCGTTGTAGTGGCGGTTATATAGAAAACAGAAGAAGATAAATGGCATTTGAAAGGACTCGTGGGTCAGTGGAAGAGTCCTTTTCCAATACCGCACTTTACCCAAACCACAAAAACACACCTCATTTTTCTGTTTTCATATTCGGAAGGACAGGGACCGACCGACCGACCAACACCTAACTGTGGCACGAGAAAAATATTGTAGAATTAGAATATACTTTCCTCTGCTCTGCAAAATCCTTATTGCTTTTATTATCTCCTCCCTTTCTCATCATCGTCATCGGAAACTAAGCTCTGTTTTTTCTTTTCTTTTCTGGGTCTCTCTGCAAAGCGATGGAGCTTCTTCCTGATTTTTTATTTACAGTTGTTTTTTCTCTCTTGATGGCTTTTGGGCTTTCTTTCGTTCTCCCTCTGGTTCTTTCTATGTGTCCAAGCAGGGATGCCAATGACCATGTGGGGAAAAGAAGGGTTCTTTATGAGTGTGAATCTCCGGTTCAACCCGAAATTCATGACTGGAGAAGTGAGATACGAGGTGGGTTTGTTGAAAAAGTTGTGAAAGTTGAGGAATTTATAGGTGAAGAACCAAAAGAGGAAAGTTTCCTACTTCAAGATTTTGTTGATGAAAGTTGTGGATCGCCAAAGGGACATGAGGGTTCAAAGACTGATGAATATGAAGTTTGCAGAGAAGTTGGAGTTGTTTGTTTGTCAGAGAAGAGTGTTGAAGATGAAAGTTCTGGTGGGCATGGTTGTCTATGCGGGCGCTCAGAAAACATGGTTGATCAAAGTTCTGAGAGGCATGAATTTGGAGAAATTGAGGTAGATTTGACAAAAAACGTAGTGGGAATCTTTGAAAGTGAAGATATCAAATTTCCAGAGTGTGATGGCAGTGATCATGAAGCTGATCGAGCCAAAGAGAGTGTAGTAGATGGTGTGGAAAAGGAGGGGTTGCTTGGTGAGGATGATTGGGAGGGAATAGAAAGAACTGAATTGGAGAGGCTTTTTGGTGCTGCAGTGGTGTTTGTTGGGTCTAAGAGTAATGCTGAGAGAAGTTTAAGTGTTGGAAGTGATGTGAAGACGAGGTTAGATGGGCTTCACAAGATTGCCACTCGAGGGCCTTGCTTTGAACCCCAACCTATGGCATTCAAGGTCTCTGCACGAGCAAAATGGTAGCTTCTAACTTCTCTTCTGCCTTTTTTTTGTGTTGTGATTTTCCAGGGTACTATTTGATTTGATGATGTTCTTATATATGCTTCTTGGTTTCTCTGAGTGTAGCTCTCTACATGTCCAGAAATAGTACTTTGATTTAAGACTTTTTATTTGGTGATTGTCCTATCACGCGATAATCATTGCAACTTTCTCAAGAATTGTACTTTGTAGCGTTAACTTTGTTTATCAAGGCACATGATGAATGTGGACTAAGCAAAGTTTACAGAGGGGAGAGGAAAGAAAATTATTTTTATGAAACTGATAAGTCACAATACCCAATTGCATTGTTCATGTATCTCAGGGATAAGTCTCTTTAATGTTCTTCCCCTTTCGACTTTTACTTGGACTACTTGCAAGTTCCAACTGTTATGACATTTTATATCAAGCAGACTAAACAGGGAACTTATTTTCCGAAAATGAAGGACCTTTTCTTAGTGCAAGCGATTCATTTACAGAGTGTATTCAGGCTCAAGATGAATAACTTTTAGTACTGTTAACTTGTAGAAATTTAGTTGAATGGCATGACACTAAGCTTTCACATCCAGAATGTAGTTTTGTGGACAATAATTATGATTACTTCTGATGCTTCACTAAGTTGATAAGAGAAAACCGGTTTACATTGTGCAAGGAATGCTTGGCAACAACTCGGAAACATGAGTGCAGAGGTAGCGATGGAGCAGTATATCACACTTCTTTCAGAAAGAGTTCCTGGGTGGATGCAAGATGTTCACGGTGTAAGCATTTTACTTTTGAAAGTGCTAGTGCGTTTTTACAGATGAACAGTGTAGGATAATAATCCTTTCCTGTTTGACTGGAGCAGGATTTTGCGGATGCCCAAGTGTATGAGAAGATAGCTTCTGATCTGAAGACATTTGTGCAAAACCAATCAGAACCTGCAGGGGAAAGGTGTTCAATCTTTCCTTCTTTTTTGGCCAATGTTAAGCACTTTCAAGGTTTGCAGATTTTATTTTTTCTTTTTGTAGTATTTTTTACTGATTTCCTTAAATATTTTCTGAATTTGCAGAAAAGTGGAAGAACTAAAGCCTGATTTTAAAGGTTTAGATGAGACAGGGGTGAGGGTCTTAAATAATTGAGCAAGGTATGCATGCAATTAGTTGTTATGTAAGCTTGTCCATAGCTTTACCTTATCTGATATGATATCTTTGTGTTTTGCAAAATATAAACACCACAGTCACAGATGCCATTGTTCACATAATACAAACTGAAATGAAGTTTGTTGTGCTTGCAAATTACGTTGTATATAATATTTATTTGCTCAAAGTTGCCTGCATATACACGTAAACTGAATTTTCATTGATGGCTTTGAATGAATAGATGGTTCCTCTAGTTTTAGTCATGGAATCTTGTCCCCTTCTGTTTGCTGTAGAAGTTGAACGTAATTAATTGCTTGGTCATGAATTGAGTAGGAGATAAGACACAAATATTATTGATACCACCAGGAGTCAGTTTCTGTATTTAATTAATGATTAATATTTTGGTTCTTGGCTCATCTAGTTTAAGAAGTTACGGGCTTACAAATTCTCTTCCTGTAATCATACATAATGCTTATTTAGATATGTTGAAATCCCATATATAAAAAAATACTGAATATGTTGTAATCATATCTGCAACAAATTGGAACTCTTATGAAGGTTTCCCATTACTTGAAGAGCTTGCCATAATGTTTCTTCCGGTATCTCGGTTATGTTTGAAATCCAGGTTTGTGCCAATTGTTCATCACCAAGGTAGAGCATCTTCCGGACAGCGGAGGCTACCAAGGCCCAGGAGGAGTTCACTTGAAGAATTGGAAACATCCAGTCTCATTTGTGACCAGTACATATTGCCATTGTCTTTTATAATAAAGATTTAGCCATGTGTTTATGGTACTATGTATATCCCACTTGCCCACTACATCTCTGTTTAAACCAAACCCCTTTTGTTCCTTTGCATGGGAGAAATGAGAAGAAAATTGGTGATGTTACACCTCAACAAAACAGATGGTATTGTGCAACCAACCAAGCCATAGAGGTTCATTTTATTAAGGTTGAAACTGCATTTAATGTTACCTAGCGCCGCCACGAAAGCTACTGCCTCCACCACCATCATTGCCATCACCACTGTCATTGCCTCTACCATCATCCTTGGTACTATAGCCACCACCGCCACCGCCACCACCATCATCACGGCTATCATATCTGCCATTGCAATCATTATTGTCGTCGTCGCCACTCATTTACAAATTGATTCATCTAATAAGACGAACTAAACTAAAGTTTTCATAATTAAATCTTATTATGTTGAATAGGTTAGGGAAAAAAAAAACATTACAAATGATATAATTAAAATAGTCCTAAATTGCCTGGAGGAGGAGATACGAATAGATGACCTCCTATAACTACAAATCCATTGCCACTATGCGAGTTTTATATGCATACAAACTTCAAATCCATTGCCACTTTGCGAGTTTTATATGCATACAAACTTCTGATAAAGTTTAGATTAAAAATAAAAATAAAATCGTAATGAACAGAAGGCCCGCGAATCGAGCGTTCATTACTTTCAGTTGAAGTCACGAAGGATAATCGAACATACTCAATACGACGACGTTTGGATTGTCCGCTACAGTAGTATGCTGCAGAGAGAAAATAGTTGCACTGAGTCACAGACTCACAGACTTACAGTTGCCGGCAGACCCCAATTCCAGTAATGAACGTCGACGTTTCAAATCATCTCCAAATTCCAATCCATTTAGATCTCAAGCTCGAATTCGAACTGGTTCAAATCTGCACCAATGCCTCAAGCACACTGGTTCCAATCTCTGAGATCCGAAGCTTCTCATTCTGATTGATTCGAATAAAAGCAATATTCACATGGGGGTGGTGATTGAAAGCTCTGTTTGGGAGCCAAATCCTGGCCTTTACATATTCATCTTCTTCGCCTCTCTCTTCTCCATCCTCGCCTTCCCTTACGCTTCAAACAAGTACAGCAGCACTGGCAGCAGCAGCAGCAGCAGCTCCAGCAAAGCTCCGTCGCTCTTCGACCATGGAATCTCCCCCACCGCCTCCTCTCTCCGCTTCCAGAGGAACTTCCTTCTTATCTATTCTCTGGCCTCAGGTCTGTACGACGTCGTCTCTTGTTTCCTTCCGGATAGATCTTCTTTTCTTTTTGTTCTTTTTGTTCTTTCAAGTTTTAGTTCAGCTTCCGTTTAAGTTTTTGTACTTACATTTTGTCATAAATCAAGCAGAATCGCATTTTAATCTTAATTTAGCTATTTGGTTTTGATCACTGATGGGGTTCTTATGACTTTTTGCTGTCAGTAATGGAGGGACTGTGGTCTGTATTTGGTGAGTTTGAGTTAGCTTACTACGGTTTAAGCAGAGAGCAAATGATGTTTTCTCTCTGTGTTGGATTTGCAGCTTCTCTTTTAATTGGTTCCTTCTTAGGCGTACTTTCTGATTTAATGTAAGTGCATTTTCAGGCCAGTCTTGCTTCTTGTTCGTTATTCCAATGCTTAATGTTAAACCTTAATTGATTTCCCTTTTTTTGTAATTTGTGTAGAGGTCCAAAGAAAGTTTGTTTCCTCTTTTGCATTCTACACCTCTTTCTTGGCTTGTGGAAGAGAATTATTGATCATCCAAGTGTTTTGGCGGCGAGTATTTGTTTGTCTCTCGCAGCTTCGATTTTTTCTTTCAGTTTCGAGACGTGGATGGTAGTTCAACATGAAGAGGTTGTTGAGAAATGCCAGTTATTTCAGACTTGGTTTGCACGTAGAAACATCACTTAGTCTAGAAATGGGAGTGACTCATATATAGACTTTTGTACACAGGCAATTTGTTGGACTAGCTGTAGTGCTAATTATGATGAAAAAAATTTTATGTTTGCAGCAAGGGCACAGGCAAGATATGTTGAGTGAGACTTTTTGGTTGATGAGTTTCTTTGAGTCCGCATCTCTCATTGGAAGCCAGGTGCTTTCAAATTGGCTCATTGGTAATAATGTGGACAAAAACATGGCATCCCATTCCACTGCAGCCATCTTTTTGGCAATAATTGCCTTGGTTTGTCTTCTCAGAGGATGGACAGAAACCCCACAGAAAGTAGCTCTTAAGGAGTATAGGGCGTCTTTCTCTACATATGTTTTTGGTGGTAAGAGTTGCATTTGTTTTAAAAAAAATTATCTACTTTTCTTGTTCGTTTACTTAAATAAACTATACTGCTTGAATACATTCAGTATGAAAATGAATCAGTTAAATGAGATCGAGTGAGACTGTAGTTCCAGATATAGTGAAGCATGTTAATTCCGTCAAAGGCAGATGCTTCGAATTTGTGTAAAATTTTGTTCTTGAGGATCAAACTCTTATTGCTTTGCACTTCATTCCTTTGCTTGTTGCTATTTGCCTCCTCTGATACTCAACTGTATCTGTTTGCCCCAGTATGATCAACATGCCATCAATTCCCTGATCCAGGAGAGTAATTTTTTCCATTTCTATAATGTTCTTGATTAGCGAAATCACTTATGTCATCTTTCCTTTAATGAGCTGAGTACTTGAAGAGAATTTTCACACTTTTTAGGTAGGAGTGTTGTTTTTCAATCTTCACTATTCCAGCAACTTATTATATGCATTTTAGAGGATTGATTATTTAAAGATGTTGTGCTAGCATGATTTAGCTGCTCTTCTGCATAATGCTTTGCAAATCATGGTGTGAGGTGTAAGCTTTAACTATATGTTTGGTGTGTATACTTACCGCTGAAACTTTATATGGTTGGCAGATAAAAGAATATGGCTTTTGGTGTGGGCACAGGCTTGCCTTCACTTCTCTGTAGCAGTCTTCTGGATACTATGGGCCCCTACTATAGTGGTATGGTTTCTATAATTTAAAATAAAATGTTTAGCTTAGTGAAAGGTACCATGTTTAATATCTGAACTACTTGAAACTTTATGTTGATGGGATTTTTTTTTTCACACTCAACAAAGAATTCTTTCTTATTCCTGAGTAAATTTAAAAGAGGGGTTTAAAGTTATTGAACCTTAGATATCATAGTTTCAATTTCTTCCATCAATTTTTAATAAATATGTGATTTTAGGCTGATGGACGAGAAGTGCACCTAGGGTTGATATATCCATGTTTTTTGGGCTCAAGAATGCTTGGAAGCACAATATTTCCGTGGCTCATTAGTGGACTGTCATCCCTGAGAACTGAGGATTGCCTAGTATTTGCATTCATTATAATGGGGCTTGTATTGTCCATAACAGCGTATGATTATCAGGTAAAGATGTCTTCTGTAAATGGAAATATAAGAAATATGATCATCAATTATGTTTAATGATAGTGGTTCCGAAGTTTAAACGTTTAATTGGTGATATGCAGGAAATTGGAGTATTAGTGACATTATTTTGCATATTTCATGCCGGTCTTGGCATGATTTTTCCTTCACTAGCCAGATTGAGGACAATGTAAATCAAACGAGTATTCCATCTTTTTGTCCGCTAATGTCTCCTCTAAATATTATGCCTCAGGTTCAACTTTTGTTACGTGGATTTTAATTTGATGGTTTTCCTGCTTCTATTTGGTGTTCACAGGTATGTGCCTAATGCACTGCGTGGGGGGATGATAAGCCTTTCTCAAGCCCCAGCAAATGCAGCAATTCTGCTTTTTCTGGTGCAAGTGAGTGTTTCTTCCCAGGATTACCTCAACATAGAAAACATATGATTAAGAAACTCCCTGACCAGTGAAATTGATGTGTGCCACCAGTGGTGGAGAGCAGCCACAGTAAAAAAGGGTCATGATTGGACTGGTAGATTCCACCATGAGATTTATTGATTAAACATCCATCCACTGACTTTTCTTGCTACTGTGGTATTGATGCAGGGAAAATACTACAATAACATCGGGAACTCAACAATCATAGCGTTTGCTGCCCTTGGACTATTCACAGCAGCTGGTTGCATGCATGTCTTGAAACGATGGGGGAAGCAACCATATCAGAACTGGCATAAACTCTGATTTTATACCAAATCATCAGCGAGCTTATTGGCTGAGTTGGTGAGTTCTGGAGATCATTACTGACTAGCAGAACTGAGTATTTCTAAGAATTTCTGTGCCTCTGAATTCCACCTGAGGTATGGGGACATAAATACTGGAAAAACAACAATATGTTGTAAGTTGCAAAAAATTGGATTGATATGGTCTTGTGTATTCCTTAGGAATCAACTGAATGACTATGTGCAAGACGGAAACCAGTTATCGGTTCCTTGTCACCGAGTTCAATTCAAGTTGCCAAACCCATCTGAGCCTCTTAACTTTCTGGGCAGGTCTGGTGGTTAGGCCGGAGAAGATGGGATTTACATGTTTACCATCAGCCCTCCGCGCAGTTTAGGGATTTAGACCTCAGCAGTAGAGGCGAGAACTGCAAGTTTTTGTGATCCTCATTTTGAAGATTTGTTTGTAAGTTTTGCACTAAACTGACACAATTAGCAGTTTAGTTTGGCAAAATTGTACTTAAATTGTGGAACAGAATGGAAATGTCTAAATTATTGCCAGATTTCTTTGATGATTGGATCGGTGAATAAAAAAAGGTTCACAGTTGTCCTGTAAATCCAATGTGCAGTTTCGCTTTAGTGAGGAGTTTCTTTCAAATATGACTCAAACCCAAGACGAGTAAAGAAAAAATAGCTACCTCTTTTTCATCTGTTATAAATTTCTGAGCTGGTGCAAAACAGGGTGACAGAGAAGAGATATACAATCAGAAGCTATGAAGAACGAGAGAACAATGACATTTGCCAGAACCTAGATTGCTTCTTGTTGTATTTGTTCTTTCATCCTCAAATTTGCCTTCTTTCTCCTCTTACACCTTTCCCCACCCTCACTTTCATTAGCTTATTATGGATTTTTTTGGTCCAAGTTCCCGAAGAACGAGAGGAGAAATTAGAGGGAATAAAAGGAAAAGACAACAAAAAGGGAGAAGAGGTGTGAGTGGTAGGGCTTTTGTGGTTATCTGCCACGAACTCAATGTGCCATAAACTTGTGTTTGCAGGGCTTTTTTTTCAACAACTTCTTGATGGCTTGCTTAGCCAAGCATGTCATGAAAAACACTCTAAACACTTTGACCGTGGCTTTTATTTACTCTTCTTTCTCATCACGTTAATTTTGTGTCAAAAAGTTAGCTTGAAAACCAAAGAGAGATTAAGATATGAACGTGGAAAGTATTGGACTCGGGATTTTCTTTCTGGTTTTGAGGGCATTACTAAAGAAATTATTGGACTTGGGATGGAGATGGACTAAGGCATGCAATTACAGCTTCTTGAACCATTATGCAAAGGTAAGAAGCTACACTTCACATATCCTGCATTGCAACAGATGGAACCTTTCTTCATTTATTTAATTGAATTGCTAGATGCGACATGAGATATCGACACGATGAAAATTTATTGAAACTCCGATCATACAAGAAAAAGAAGGCTCATTCTCAAACACCCCCCTCCGGGGGTTGGTGTGTGCTAATGCTCAGGTGTGGATAAAAATTTGAGCACTGCACAATGACACTCTAGACAACTACAACTAATCCTCTTGTTCTTGATCCCTGATCCACTTTGTAGCCACCCATTTTTCCCCTTCAATTACAGGACAGCTCCCATGTATTGATAACTGCAGAGGCGCATCCAGCCAATAATTAAATTAGAACGGAACAAAATAAACAAACTTCTCTTAACAAGGAATGAAATACCTCATACAGGGTAAATTTCACGAGAAATGCTAAGAAAAACATTTTTTTTCTTTCTCATCAATACTTCTTGAAATGATCATAATGAGAATGATACTGGGAAGCAACTAACCATATCAATTGTACCATTTGGGAGCAATGAATAAAATAAAAGTCCATCCCCTTTGCGTGGCTTCACTTTCAAACCAACACATTCACGAAAATCATAGTTTCCATCCATGTTTGAGCCATTCTGCAGATCAAAAAGGGATGATGAACTATGGACAAACCAAAAGGGTGATGAGAAAAGCAGAGGTCTTCAACTCACCTCATAAGGAAACATGGTTTCACCACCTTCTTCAACATCAGTTAAATACAACAAGAATGATGCAACCTACAAAGATCAAATAAGACTAATGTAAGCATTCTTTAAAACCTTTTGGAAAATAAACATTATGATTCTATCAGATCTACAACTTGTTATGCTTACTATTAGTGTTTAATCTTAGAAGATGGTTTATTGACCACTCCTGGATGCAACTTAACTTCCGCTATTAGCATAATATTATTTGGTTTGAACATGTAATCATTAAGAAATTTCTAGAATTTGTTTGAACTGGTCAAGTAGATGAGCGCAGAACATCTATCTGCGACTTTAGACATCAAAGCACACACATCTATTTGGTTTCAAGAAGTCAAAAGAATTTATCCTGGTAAAACTCCCATGCCATATATCTTTAAGGTGATACAGAATGACGACCTGTGCTCTCCAACCCAAGTATAATTGTTGTACAAGTGTAGGAAATAAAATATTGAGGTTTATCTTTGCCTGGTTTTATTTCCTAAACTGTGCACTCCGGGGAGTGGGTGTGCAAGGGTTTCAGTGATACACAAGCCCAAAATAGAAAACAAATAATGACCAAATGAAACTCATGTTTTATAGTGAAGATGTACCCTTTGGCTCTTCTGTGGACCATATTGATCAGGGTGGAATGCATCGTAATGAGAATTATACTTCTGCCCGATCTCATAGCGTAAGATGTTGAATGCCTGAAACATGATATCCTCAGCTCAGACAATTTTACAAATTGGCCTGAAATAAAAGGTTAACTAATTCATAAAACAAGTAAAGCAGATTTAGCTTTTGCATAACAGAAACACATAGGCATGAAAGAAATATCTTCACTATGATTACAACATCAAGTGTCCCATCATTACTTGGCAAATTAACACAAACAACCCGTCAAACAGCGGTACCTAACATTTAAATATTCATATAACAGTCTTGTCAACACTACCAAAAAAATAACTTTTCCACAGTTCAGACCCATGTTGAGAAATTTTTTTGCCAACAAGAAACAGAACATCAAATACACAAAGCTAACTATATGCACAGCACACTTCTGATATCTTAGGCACAAGAAAGAAATTTCCAAGAAGTTAGTAAACAGCTGGGTTCGTTATTCTGCCATGAACTGACAGAGGATTTTCTGACAACCCTCCTTCCCCCAACTCCATTCACCCTTCCTACCCCAGTTTGTGGTTGCAGGCATTCTCATTTATAATTTTAAGGAATAAAATTACTTTGGCAACAAGAGAAGTTTTTTATTTGATGCTGTCATCTTGGACAGAAGAAAAACTTCCACGAGCATTGCTTAGAACGAAACATGACTAGGCATTATGATTTTGTATAGAGAGAGATGACGAGGATGATGATGATAATAAGCTCTAAACTGTACACTAAATAGTACCTCTCCATAGGTCCTGGGAAGCATTGTTGCTCTTGCAATCTTTTCCTCTATTACATCCAGAGTCCCAGATTTATCATCAGAAGCAGAAAGAAACATGCCAGAACTGCTTGAAAAGATAGTGTAAGCATGGTTTGTGGGATCTGTAATCACTCATATTAAGAAAACTATTCACATTTGGACCCGTTAGATTTATTCCTCTAAATATAAAATCATCAGATGCTAGTATTTCTCAGCTTGTACCAACAATTATAAGATTTCACTAACAGGGCAGTCTTCAAAACTTTAGTGCAAGAGTAAAAATGGTATGCATAACAAGTACTAACAAAATGATGAAAAAGGTTTGCTCATTTGAAACACTAAATATTAAGTTTGTGTACCTTGTTCGTATATCCTTCGTGTTCTCCTCTGTCTCACCCTCTCGCAAAGCCAAAGTTGATGGTTTAAGGCTTGGCTTGGCCATACCGATTATGCTTTCACATTGCTCCGCAGTTGCAAAATTAGGAAAATATAGTGCACGCGGATACCAACTCAAGACCTACGCAGTTCATATGCCCTTTTCTTGTTAGCTAATAAAAATTCAATCTTCGATCCCACAAAACTCATACAACCCTAAATTGATCAAACTGTTTAAAGAATCGTCACAAAGAAACGTGGACAACAGAAACCTGAAAGGGAATGGAAGTTAAAGAATCGTCACCGGTCTCTCCATAAGGCATCGAAGTATACTCTGTTTCCAACAGTCTCGTTCTCAGCCTATTATCACCACCACCCACATCCTGCCAAAAATTAAAATTTGAAATTGTTAAATGAATTATTTTTGAAAAACTGAAAAACCCACTCAAGTTCTTGATCAAAAACAAAAACCCCATAAAAGGAAAAATGAAAACTTTGCCTGAGAGAGGAGAGAGGAGCCGTAGAAGCCAGCGAGGAAGAAGAAGGAGCATAAGATGAAGGTGGTTGGTAACCCAAGTTTGGACTTCAACTTGAACTTGGAGCTCCAATTCCCTTTCCCGCTTTTGGCTCTCATTGTAATTTCAATTTGTCTTCAAATGCAGGTGGCAATGGTGGTGTGATTGGTGGCTTCTACTTGCTCTCTCGTCTGTAAATTTTTGTGCTTTTGTTTTGCGTTTGACAAACGACAGTCGATCAAAGACTTGATTGCAGAGAGTCTTTGTCAAGACTGTAAACAAGCGTGTTCTAAATTCTAATTGCGCGCACAGCACGGCGGGAGTTTGCGTAAAACTACTGAGATTTTTGTAATCTGACCAAAAAAAGAAGATTGAGATTTTTGGAACCAAATTGCTGGGGGTGTAGTCAATCTTAGAGGATTTGGAATCCAATGGGTACAACGAATATATTTTGGTCGGGGGGAGCAAACTTTCCCAGTTCTACAAAGTGCTCAAATCCAAGGTCATAACCCACAGAATTGTCTCTGACAAAGTGGGTAAATAGATTCTTCCCAAGGCGGTCCTTAGGCTTTCATGGTTTTACAACTTTACTTTCTTTCTTTTTTTTGAACTTTTTTTTTGAACTTTCGCTTTGTAAATTCAAATTCTACCTTCTCCGTTGTGATTATTCTCACTTGTTCTGAAAAGGGTCATCCTTCATTATTCCAACTAGAAATAGAACCCCCAATCTTTTCTACTCCTGAAAAGATGGCACTAAATACCATTCTACACAACTTTTTTAGACTTTCTAGAGAGAGAGAGAGAGAGAGAGAGGTTACAATCTTTTAGATGGGGGTGAATATTGAAAAACCATGGCCAAAGAGGAGGAAATCAGTAAGAAAATGACATGACGAAAAAGGGTATGATGAAAGAAATAACACTTGGCCTAACCCACAAAAGAAAAAAGGTAGCCTAAGTGTCACCGGGGTCGCATCATATTCTCTCAATTCTTTGCCGTTCTCATCGTTCGTGGATATTCTTTTTTCACTTTTTACTGTGACAAATGTGTCTTTTACCTATTGACCCAAAAACAAAACGTCTCTTTACTTTAAGACACAGCCTTTTTTATTTGGGTGGATTTGGACTATTTGTTGTTGTTTTTTTTTTTTTACTGCAGACTCCCTGGTTTTTCTCCCTCGGTTGGGTCCGGACTTTGGCCCC